TCGAGGCGCTCGCCCCTATCGGTGATCCAGACGTGCCAGCTCTCCGCTCGCCAGCCTATGCGAGCGAGGCTGAGGCGCACCGCCCCTGCAGGTCCAGTGACTTGGCCCCAATGGGCAGGCTGAGCAGCGCTGAACACGGTGCCCATGCTGCTCGCGGGCCTGGCCCGTTGGAACACCGCCTTGGCCCAACCCAGCAGCGGCAGACCATTGGCCGCGTAGGCGGGGTCGCGGCGCCAACCCGTCCCAGGCTGGACCGCGAACTGCAGCGTCCTGCACCGCCTGCCGCACGCCCCCGATATGGCCTGGCCGTTGATGGTCCTGGCCTTGTCAAGGACCTTGGACGGCACTCCCCTGACGCGGGCCCCGTAGAGGATGGTCGCCAGGCCGCTGCACCTGAAGACTGAGCCCAGCTTGGCGCCAGCCCGTCGGAGCTGCATGTAGCGCGATGCCTTCACAGCCAATCGCCCCAGGCGCCCGCGCAGCACGCCCCATGAGGCCTTGCCGTCCAGCCTGAAGTCAATCCCCAGGTTCTTGGCCTCGCGCCGCAGCCTGAAGTCCCACTTCCTGAGGCGGTGGGCCGTCCTCTTGCCAGCGCCGATGTCACTGGAGACTATCACTCCCTTGGTGACCGAGATCGTGAAGCCATCCTCCTCCAACCTCTGGCAGAGCCACCTGGTCGCGCCGAAGACCCCGAACTCCACGTCGCGCAGCCGCCCGTACACCGCCAGCGTGACGTCGTCCACAACCAGGTAGGCGCGCACGTTCTGCCAGGTCTGCATGAGGAGGTCCATGGCCGTGAGGAGCATAACCTTCAGCAGCGTCGTAGCGAAGGTGCACCCCGCCACGATCGACGTCCCCAGCGAGAAGGCCTCCGAGACCCACTTGCTCAGACAGAGTCTACGCCGTCCCCCGTACGATCGGAGGATGAGCTTCAAGCGCCTTAACCTGAAGCCATGTCTTCGGGCTGCAGCCACCAACCCTGCATGGCTGACCCTTTCGTAAGCCTTGGACAGGTCCAGCATGGACGTCATCGAGTGCTGCTTCATCGCTGTCGCCAAGTCCGCGTCGAAGGCCTGCAGCCATACCGCGTCCTCGCATGACTTGCCCTCGCCGCCGAAGAAAAAGTCCCTGGGATGCTGGCGTTCCCATTCCTGGGCCTCTCCTCGGCGTATCCTGCCCAGCAGCCTGACGAGGCTGCTCAAGAGGCCGATGGGTCTCCACCCGCCTTCGGCCTTGGCCAGGAAAAAGATGTAGAGGGTGTCGAGCTGCCCTGGGATCCTGCAAGTCGCCTCCAGCATCTGCAGCACCAAGCCCAGCGCGAGTAAACCGTCGTCACTCAGGAGGCCGAAGGACTGGGGCTTGATGCAGTCCACACCCGTCGCCGTCGACGCCTTGAACGAAGCCGCCGCCCGCCTGATGGCCTCAGGGGCGGGCGCCGCCCCTGCCTCCTCGAGCAGCTCGGAGGGAAGGGCGTCGTCCAAGTCGAGCGGCATCACCTCCTTGTGCCTCCACACCTCCAAATACTCGTCCCTCAGCGCGTCCAGCGTCGCCGAGATGCCTGCTGGCCCCCCTTCGCCCTCGAGGTCTGGGGCCCAGGCCAGCGGCGCCTTGCAGTAGCGGTGGGCGGCGCCCGCACCGTCCTGCACCGCCTCCTGCGCCCACTGGCGCCACTGATGGCATCGCTTCTTGCCGCTGCGGTCCTCCAGCTTCGCCGCCAAGTCCCTGGCCTCTTGCTCCAGTTTCTCCAACTCGCGGAAGGTGAGGTGGCTGAGCGTGCGCAGCTGGCGCTTCCACCGACGAACCTCCTCTACCGTGAGCAAGTCGCCGCCGAGGTCATCCGATGCCAGGGCACCCGCCTTGGCCGCGAGCCCCTTCAACTGAGCAAGGGCCGCTGGGATCGCCGTCTCCACGTGCAAGCGCCTGCGAGCTGCCATCATCTCCCACATGACGGCCCCGATGCGGCGCCATCGAGCAGAGACTGGGCAGCCCTTGGGGTACGGTCCCCCACCTGGCACCAGCACGTCCCTCTCCACAAACTTCGGGTTCGCCGCGCGTCCGACGTACAGGTGGGCGTCCGTCGGCGGCACGTGGTACAGGCCGAGCAGGTCGGCCTCCATCAGCTTGGCAAACTCGCCGTAGAGCAAGTCCACCATCCCCTGCGGCTCCTGCGCCGCCTCGTCCTGCGCCGCAGATGCAGCGCCTCCGCTGGGTGCCTGCTGCGACGACGCTGAGCCAGTGGGTTCGCCGGTTGGCCTCTGAGGGCCCCTAGGTTCCCCCACATACTTAGCGTCATCTATAGGGTTCAGCTCTCCCTGCTGGCATCGCTCCTCTGACAGTGTTGCCGATGACGGATCAGAATCCTCACTGATGCGGGGAAGAGCCTCCTCCTCCGTTGAGTCCGCCTTGACTGGGTCCTCCACCGTGTCGCCGCAGAGGCCGAACACTGCGTCCGCCCAGTCTCCGTCGTAGCCAGCCCTGAAGCGCTTGAGCGACTCCGCGTGGGCGCTGACAGGCAGTTGGTAGCCGGGCCCCAGGACACTGTCGAGCCTCCAACCTGGCTCCGATGGCTCGCCCATCTCCTCCGCTCCTGAGACCCTCGTATTCGAAGCACCAGAAGTAGCCCCAGTCGTAGAGCCTGTGGCGCCCTCTGCCCTAGCCACCGCGCTGGAGTCGGCGACCCCAGCGGATAAGGCGTAGGGTGAGTCTGGCGGCCGAGAAGGAGTTGCCGAACTCCCCGTCCGAGCCACCGTAGGCCTCGAGGCAGTCTCCGCAGCACCCGGCCACTGCACGGCGACCCCCAGCCTGGCCAGCATCGCCCTCGCCAGCCCCAGAAAGGGGGCCCAGTCTGGCGGTTCGCGCCGTGGGCCCACGGGCCGCTGCGCTGGCAGCGCGCGCGCCGCTTTGTGCACCAGCCTGCGCTCGGGGAGCCCCCTCACACTCAGCTGCATGCGCACGGGCCAGTGAGGCGCCAGGGCCGTGTCCAGCCTGCTGCAGCCCTTGACCTTGCCGCCCAGGCCACTCGACACCACGAAGTAGTCGATCTCCGAGCCCGAGCCGACGCGACATGTCGGCACGCCAGGCGCCACCACCATGCCGTTGACCTCCTGGGGCCAGCCCCAAGCCTCCAACTCCTGGGGCTTGCAGTTCCAGTCGCCACCGATGACATAGGGCACCTGCGCGTAGGCCAAGTACTCTCCCAGCTGCCCCAAGATGAGCTTCGACTCGGCGTCGAGGCCCTTGGCTGCCACCAGGTACACCGACACCGCTAGGAAGCCGCCAGGCACTCCGCAGTTGACCCAGCGCGCGATCACGCGGTCCTTGGGCAGCTTGGGCCCTTTGGGAGCCTGGCCCATGCCGATGTGGGCTCGGACGCCGACGCCCACACCGCTGGAGAGGCCGCCCTTGTCGGTGCGCACCGACTCGTTGAAGGCCGCCTTCCAGCCCTCTCGGCGGCAGGCCTGCTCGACCTCGGCCGCCGCCCCTGGGGCCACGCCCACCTCCTGCAGGAAGACCACGTCAGCCGTGGCGTCCTGCTGCAGCCAACGCATCATGCTGCCGCGTGCCGTGGTGTTGGCCGTGTCCAGCCGCCAGGCGCCCGCCTCACGCCTGGTCAGCGCCAGCCGCCGCCTGGCCTCCACCGTCGCCGCGGGCGCGCTTGGCCTCGGGGATGTCGAGCCCGACGGCCTGGCACGCCTCCTCGAACTTGCGGCGGTTCTCGCCCTCGAGCTTGTCCACCTGGTCGATGAAGGTGCGGCCGCTCCCTTCTTCTGCTGCCGCGCCAGTGGCCTGGCCCCGCTCGCCGTCTGCACGAGCATCAGCAGCAGCACCAGTAGCAGGCGCGTCGCCTGTACCCATGGGTTCGTCCTCGTCCGCCTTGCACTCGGCAGATGCCAACTCGGCACGGATGGCGTCGACCTTGCGCTGCAGGGCGCCTCGCGCGGCCTCGATGGACCCTGCGTCGGCACCATAGCCTTCGAGCGAGCCCAGCGCCTCCAGGCTGGTGACCGCCTTGGCCAGCTCGGCCGCGCGGGCCGAGCTGCAGCCAGGCGGCAGCCCCGTCTTCTCCATCTGCTTGGCCAGCTCCAGCTGCTCGCGGCCCTCCGCCTGGCGCTTGCGGGCCGCGTCCAACGCCACCGCCGCCTCGTCCAAAGCGGCCTTCGCGAGCCGAACTCGCTCGGTGGCCTCGACGTGCTCCGCCGCCCTCGCCGCCGCCTGCTTGTCCAGCTTCTGCATGCGCCAGATGCAGTTCTGCAGCACGTCGGAGTAGGACTTCGGCTTGGGTGCGCGCGGCGCCTCCTTGGGCGGGGCCAGCTTGGCGCGGTCCTCCTCGCCCACGACCACGCCCTTGGACGCCAGGTGCTCCAGGAAGGAGGCGACGTCCGCCTCGCTGAAGCCCGAGCTGGGCGGGGTCTGTGCTGGCGCCTCCGCGCTGGCCGCGGCGTCGCCAGGCGGGACTCGAGCGTCCCTGCCGACGGCCTTGGCCTTGCCCTTGCTCTTGCCCTTGCTTCCGCCTGCTGGCTGCGTACTCGGCTGCACGCCGCCAGCGTTGGCCAGCGCCACCTGGCGCACCGAGAGCGGAGCCGCTCGCCCACAGGTGCGGCAAGCCAACCTGCAGGCCCAGTTCCCGTCGGTGCCGCAGGAGCAGCCCCAGGCCGGCTTGCGGGGCCCCGGCAGGACGACGGCCGCCGAGGGCGGCGGGCGCTGCCAGGGCGCAGGCGTCGGCCCTGCGCCAGCGCTGCGGAACCCGCGAGCGCCGCCGCCGCCACCGCCGCCTCCCCAAGCTGCGAGGCGCGGCGCATGCTGCGGCGCCCCGCTGGGAGCCATCGCGGAAGCCCAAATGTGTACGGAATGATTCCCTCACTCGCGGCCAGATTGGCACGCACGAACGCGCCGCTCTGAAGTACGTTCGTGCAAGACCCCCCCTCACCTCAGGAAGAGCCCAGAACGGCTCTCCTCCTCCTCCTCTTCCTCCTATTCCTCCTCCTCGCGGGGCACGACTCCTCCGCGCCCCTCGCGGCCGTGGCCGCCAGGGCTGCGGCCACCGCGGCCGCCTCGGCTGCCTCGGCGCCGCCGCCCTGCCGCAGCTCGGCCAGCCGGCGGCGGTCCTCCGCCAGCAGCAGCTGTCGCTCCTCCAGGGCCCCACGGAAGCACGAGTTGCGCGGCATCTCCGACAGCACCTAGAGGAGGGGGAGGAGGAGGAAGAGGAGGAGGAGGAGGAGGCGGAGGAGGAGAAGGATGAGGAGGAGGAGGAGGAGGAGGATGAGGAGGAGGAGGAGGAGGAGGAGGAGGAGGGAGAGGGGGAGGAGGGGGAGTTTCGAGGCTCGAGGTTTTTGAAGGCGTTTTCAACGGTTCTCGGGGTTGTCCAGCCTCGGGGTGTCTTCCAGCAGTTGCGCCTCGCCGCGAGCGTTCTGGGGGCTTCCCGATCGTCGCCAACGGCCGCCAAAGGCCCCGAAATATGGCCCGAAAGCCAACCGGGGACCAGCTCTGGGGGGAAAGCATCGCCCTGGAATCGGCGGTGCATCTCCGATAGATCGGCGATATGCCCTTAAGAGCGACTCAACACGCTCCTTGGCGGGGTGGGCTATGCGGGCGCCTGTCGGCGATGACAGGGCGATTGGAAGTCGATGCGTCCAAGCCTGAGCCCATCCCCCCCGAAGGTTGCCCCCTGGTGCCTGCCAGTCCCCCGCGCCAGCGGCGTCGCCGGGGCTGGCGACGACGCTGCCGAAGCCGATGCGGGCGCTGAACTCCTCCCAGGTCATGTAAGTCGGTGTCGAGGGCGCGAAGGCGTCCCAAGCAAGCCTCAGCACGCCGGTGAAGTTCTTCGCGCGCAGGGCGCCGAAGAAGCTGGACCTGGTCTAGTAAGGCTTCGGGTTGCGCGCAGACAGACCCCCCCAGGTAGTTCTGGTGGCTGGCCTTTGTGTGCCCCCCGAGTAGTCTCAGCTGGCCTCAACAAGCCACCCCGGGTAGTCCAAGGCGGTCTCGACACCCGCGCGCCCCCAAGTGGAGGTGTTGAGGCCAAACCAGGCTACTCGGGGGGCCTGTTGAAGCCGGCTGTGGCAACTCGGGGAGCCTGCTGAGGCCAGCCAGGACTACCTGCGGGCGGGGCAGTCTGTGCGGAAGCCGAAGCCTCACCAACCTGGTCAGGCAAGAACTCGTGCTGGTGCCCCAGCCGTGCCTTCCGACCATGAACGCGTACGCGCTCTCGGCGGAGTCGAAGCGCTGCTGCAGGAACCAGCTCAAGTGGGACAGCTCCTCCTCAGGGGAAACGTGCGGCATGTCCCCGTATGTTTGGATGCTCATCTTGGGTGCCTTCCTGGAGCCACTCGCTCCACTCTTGCCTCGATGCCGCTTCGAACGTCCGTCGACTCGAAACGAACCTGAATCGAAACTGAGCCAGACTGTCAGCACTCCAGAGTCGAACATATCCATCAGGTGGGGCCCAGGCAGTTCCCCCAAACGAGCGTCCAGGTACGTGGTCTCGTAGGTCTCGTCGGAGGCGTGCTGCCAGGCGAGGTGCAGCGAAAAGAGCATCAGGTCGAGCGACCTGCTGCTCCTGCTAACAGGGGATATGTCGACCCCTATCCCAGGCTTCGTGGGGTTTCCGAATGGATCAGAAATTTGGGGCCTAACCCTGGGATATACGATGGGGGGGTGTCCATTCTCGATAGGGGTGCGTCCGAATAGCCCCCTTGGGGTGTATCCCAGGGTTTTCCCACTCTTCTGAGCGGCCAGACTTTTCGGGCGAAACTCGGGGATTGGGGGAGAAACATTGCCCGCGACCTGCCGCTGCACCCCGCAAGCGAACACGCCAGCTCAGCCGCCCGCTCCACGAGCTCCGGGAGGCGGTGCAGGCTGCCCTTCTGCAGGGCCGCCAGCAGACGGCCGTCACCGAACAGCTCCAGCACATCGCGCGGCGCGGCCCAGGGGTCCGCCAGAATCGCCTCGGGCAGCGGATCTTGGCGGCGCCCAGAGAGGGGCAGGGGGAGGGGGAGGGCTTCTTAGAGACGCCCCTGCTTCTCAGAAGGCGCGGGCCCTGTCTATAGATATAGGGCCAGGCCCCTCTGAGAAGCAGCCTGCTTCCGAGAAGCCGCCCCCCCTCCCCCTACCCCCTTGTGCGCGCCGCCAGGGATCAGCGCGAATCCAGAACTGCTCCTGCAGGCGACGGTCCATCCACCCGAGCGCGTCGCGAGACCGGAGCCTCACCTCGCGGCCGCGTAGGTAGAAGAAGGAAGAGCTGCCAGAGCATACACGCTCGGAGCTCCTCGCGGATTTCTTGGATCGGAGCTGGGCCCCCCTCCCTGGAGCGCGGAGCGCGCCATCGGCGGCGCAAAAAGCGCCGCCAGTGGGCCCCAGTGCCGATCTGAGAAGTCCGCGCGGAGCTCCGAAGGTTTGTGCAGGGGCAGTCTTTCCTTCGAGCATGTGCAGCACCTCGAAGACCGCCAGCAGGCATCGCACCACGGCGGGGCGCCGACAGTCGAAGAAATCCCTCGCCCTGCACATGTCCTGCGAGCAGGGGCTCAGCTGCCACACCACGGACAAGGCCGCGTCCAGGGTGGCTATGCAAGTCGCCGCGGCCTTGGGCCGTACGCGGCCCAGCAGCTCGGCGCGGGGCGCCAGCGCGCCCACCACCGTGCACAGGACCACGCCGTCCCTGGTCGGCTCACGCGGGGGGCGACCCTGGCCAGGCCGTGGCCTCTGGTGCGCGGCCGGCCGCTCATTGCGCGCGATGCGGCAGTACCGGCCCGCGTGCTCGGGCTTCCCAGAGCTTCCAAAGACCCTCGAGGTTGGGACCTTTTCACCGCGCGGCCCCCCAAGAACTCGACCCTTCCCCCGGAACGTTTTCTCATCCAGGAGTCGTTTCCTCCCCCAGCCATGCTGTGGCTCTGGGTCCTCGCTTTGAAGAGACAGCGCCCGCGTCAATCCTCCTCCTCTCCTCCTCCTCCTCCTCCTCCTCCTCCTCCTCCTCCTCCTCCTCCTCCTCCTGCCCCCTCTCCTCCTTCCATCCCATCCCTGCTCTTGCCCTCCATTTGTCGCTGTTCCGGCACACCCCTCACACGAATCGTGGTCCCATAGAAAGCTCCACCGAAGTCCCCAGTGGCAGCGCCCGCATGCGGTTCCACCCCCATTTCGGTGCACCCTCGCACGTTTCGTGGCCCCTCAGGGAACGCTTCGGGGCCCCATAGAATGATCCACCGAAGGCCCAACTGGCAGCGCCCGCAAGTGGTTCCACGCTCCATTTCGGCGAACCCCTCACACGTTTCGTGGCTCCATTGGGAGTTCCACCTAAGGCCCCAGCGGCAGCAATCGCATGCGGTTCCACCCCCATGTCTGTGCACGCCTCACACGTTTGTGGCTCAATAGGGAGCCCCACCAAATGCCCCAGTGGAAGCGCCCGCATGCGGTTTCACCCGCCGTTTCGGTGCCCCCCTCACAAGGTTCGCGGCCCCATCTGGAGCTGAAGGCCCCAGTGGCAGCGCCCGCAGGCGGTTCCACCCTTCATTTCGGCCAACCCCTCACACGTTTCGTTGCAGCGCCCGCAGGCGGTTCCACCTTTCATTTCGGCGAACCCCTCACACGTTTCGTTGCCCCATAGGGAGCTCCACCGAATGCCCCAGTGGCAGCAACCGCATGCGGTTCCACCCCTATGTCGGTGCACCACCCCTCACACGCTACATGTCCCCAGAATTAGAGTGATTCACCGAAGGCCCCAGTGGCAGCGCCCGCATGCGGTCCCACCCGCCATTTCGGAACACCTCTTACACGCTTCGTGGCCCTAATCGGGTGCTCAGGCGATACTCATCACGACTGTACTCACAACCGCACATGGTTGGGTCCTTCGCCAAGCTGCTTTGACGGATATGGGGCCTGGTGAGGGCCCCCCCGGAGGCTGAAAGTCCAGGAGGCCTGGATTGGTTGGAGCGCCGCCTAGTTCTCGGGCCACGAATCGGGTCTCCAGCGGCTCTCGGCACTGGGACGTTCTCGGCGAGGCGCAGCTGCTGAACAGAGTCTCGAGGCGAGACAACCATCGGAGAAACCCATTGCGAATCGAAAATGCCACCGAGAACCGGAGGTTGGAAAACCAACGAGAATCGAACACCTGAGGTTGGAAAATCATCGAGAATCGAAAACGCCTCCACGAAAACCGCGCACCCAGAGCCACTCCAGCGGAGGGTCCCTCGTGTGCGTGGCCAGCCTCAGGGCCTCGAAGAAGGCGTCCACCGGCACGGGCACCCAGGCTCTCTGCCCGCCGCACGCGTAGTTCAGCCAGGACGCCAGGAACTCCACCTGCTTCTGCAGCGCGGGCCCCTGCTGCTGCCGCGGGCTCGCCATGGGGTGCTCGGGGGCTCCCAAACCGGGGAGCTGCCAGCCAGGACTGTGACAAGTCCTTCTCCTCCTTCCTCTCCTCCTCCTCCTCCTCCTCCTCCTCCTCCTCCTCCTCCTCCTCCTCCTCCTCCTCCTCCTCCCCCTCCCCCTCCTCCTCCTCCTCCTCCTCCTCCTCCTCCTCCTCCTCCTCCTCCTTCCTGGAGAGAGCGAGCATGGATCATAGTTTGACCCACAGCTGCAATTGTTTCTGGCGCACCAACGTCCCTGCTTTCTCAAAAAGGTCCCCGTCCAGGGGGCCTGGCCGGGTGTTGCCCTGGCCCGCGGTGCCCCCAGGATTTCGAGGGAGCCCCCCCACGGCCTCCAGAGCTGCATTGCAGGCAAGAGTTCTCCGTGTCCGCTGCGCCTCGCCCCCATCCCCTTGGAACCCCAGACGCAGAGGATGTGGACACACATCTGGCCTCGAGAGAGGCCTGATTGAAAACAGACCCACCCCTCACGAGGCCCAGAGGGCCTCAGGGCCTTCCACATGGAGCGAGAAGCTGAGGGCACCTGGGGCCAGGGGCACCTTCAGCCCCTCCCCGATCTGGATCGGCTGCGAGCGAGAGGGGATGGGGGGAGAAGGAGAAGGCCTCCTCAGAAGGCGGCGTGACTTCTCAGCAGCCCTCGCGCCTTCTGAGAACATGTCAACGTCTTCGGGGAAGGCTTAGAAAACTCAAAGGCTGGGGGACTTCCGAGCCTTCTGACCCAATTATGCGACGCCCTGATTTTTCCAGAACGGCGTCCCCGAAAGTCCAGACCCTTTCCCCAGGGCCAGCTTCTCATCCTGAGTCGCTCTTTGACGGTCCTGGGGCCCGGCAAGGGCCCCCAAGGGCCGAGAATAGCGACAAGCCTCCATCCTGAATTTCTTACGACGCGATCACGTCTGGGGAGAAGGCCTTCTCCTTTTCACTTCCCCCACCCGGGCTCACTGCCGACTGGAGGAGACTCGGGGATCTGACCCGGGTCAATCCAGACCCAGGTCAGCAGGAAACCTAAAAACTGCAACGCAGGAAAAAAAAACCTGCAACGCAGGTCTTCGCAAACCCAAGTCAACCAATATGCGCGGCCGTCCCGCGGCCACGAGCGGCTCGCCAACCCGGGTCAGCCAGAGGGGGTCTTCGCAGGATCCTGCAGGATCCGGCGCCCTGGCTGACCCCCGTTTGCATTGACCCCCGTCTCGAGGCTCCCGAACTGGAGGAGACGCCTTCGGACTCCCGGAGGGCCGACCCGTTCCGCCGAAGGGGCGCGGGCTGCCGCCGACGGCCACGCCGCCGCCGGCGCGGGCTGCGAGCCAGCGGGGGGGCAGCCGCGGGAGGCCCAGGGCCACGGCGGTCTCAGCCACAAAGGCTGTACAGAAGAGGAGGCGGAGAAGGAGGAGGAGGAAGACCGACGAACGGAGGCGGAGGAGGAGAGGGAGAGGAAGGAGAAGGAGGAGGAGGAGGAGGAGGAGGAGGAGAGGGAGAAGGAGGAAGAGGAGGAGGAGGAGGAGGAGGAGGAGGAGGAGGAGGAGGAGGAAGAGGAGGAGGAGGAGAGGGACGGACGAAGGCGGAGGAGGAGGAGAAGGAGGAGGAGGAGGAGGAGGAGGAGCAGGAGGAGGAGGAGGAGGAGGAGCAGGAGGAGGAGGAGGAGGAGTAGGCGGAGGCGGAGGAGGAGCAGGAGGAGGAGGAGAAGAGGGACGGACGAAGGCGGAGGCGGAGGCGGAGGCGGAGGAGGAGCAGGAGGAGGAGGAGGAGGAGGAGGAGGAGGAGGAGGAGGAGGAGGAGGAGGAGGGGGAAGAGGGGGACGAGGAGGACGAGGAGGAGGAGGAAGAGAAGGAGGAGGAGGAGGTATGCCAGCGCCATCAGGAGGAGGAGGAAAAGGTGGCGGAAAGAGGAGGGGCAGGACGGACGGGCAAAACCTGTTAGACGTCTGAACCACGAGATCGAGAACTGCTGCATTAAAGACGGAATGGTCTGTAAGTTGTCTGTTCTCTCGAGCCTGGCTGGCTTGCGCTAAGATGAGTCGTCGGACGGTGCTAGCTACGAGGGTGACGACGACGACGTCGACGAGGAAGAGGAGGACGAATGCGAGCGAGGCTCTCGTGGCACGTCGGACTCTGTTGGGTGCTGCTCGACATCTTGTCGGTCGGGTAGGCTTGGCATCTTTGGGGTGCTCTTCCGAAATCCTGACCCGAGGGCGATTTCGACCCAGCGGAATCTCAACTGCTCAGCGCGCTGCTCGAGCCATCGCCAGAATCTTTCTCGCCTGATGACCACGTTCGGGTCCTGGCGCTTGCCTTCAAAGTCATCGAGACCATCGCAGGTGGTAGTGGAGGGACATACCCCACACAGATGCACAAAGTCCAGGATCACAACTCGTTGCGTGCCAGGCGCGTCGGAGGCCACAGACGCAGATCCAAGCACCGCACCAGATTGACCTGACACTGGAAGCGGTGGCACTCAACATCGGGCCACAAGCAGTGTGACTTCAGAAACCTCGCGAGGCACCCCTTGCATGCGGCCGCAGTATCGGGGGACTCCTCGCGCACTGACGGCATCAGGACCCCAGGCGTGCGAGGAAATTGGGGCCCGAACCATCCCGGCTCCTCGTTTGAAGAGACAGCGACCTGCATTATCCCTCCTCCCGCTGCTCCCGCCTCCCCCCTCCTCCTCCCATTCCATCGCTGCCTTTACCTTCCGCGTGTCACAGTTTCGGTACATCCCTCACAGGGTTCGTGGCCCAATAGGTAGCTCCACCGAAGGCCCCAATGGCAACGCCCGCACGCGGTTACACCCTCCATTTCGGTGCACCGCTCACACGTTTCGTTGCCCCATAGGGAGCTCCACCGAAGGCCCCAGAAGCAGCGCCCGCATGCGGCTCGACCCGCCATTTCGGCACACTCCTCACACGGTTCGTGGCCCCGTAGGGAGCTCCACCGAGTGCCAGAGTGGCAGCGCCCTCATGCACTGCCACCCTCCATTTCAACACACCCCTCACACGTTTCGAGGCCCCAGGGGGAGCTCCACCGAATGCCCCGCTGGCAGCGTCCGCATGCAGTTCCACCCTCCATTTCTGTGCACTGCTCACACGTGGCATCATAGGGAGTACCACCGAAGGCCCCAGGGGCCGCGCCCACATGCGGTTCCACCCTCCATTTCGTCGGTGCACCGCTTGTACATTTCGTGGCCCCATAGGGCGCTCCACTGTGGGCCCCTGGTGGCAGCGCCCGCATGCAATTCCACCCTATATTTCGGCACCGTCGCTTCATGGCCCCATATGGGGGCTCCACCGAGGGCCCCAAAGGCAAAGCCCGCATGCAGTTCCACGCGCCATTTCGGCACACCCCTCTCACGGTTCGTGGCCCAACAAGGAGCTTCACTGACGGCCCTAGCGGCACCGCCCGCATGCGGTTCCACCTTCCATTTCGACACACCCCTCACCCGGTTCGTGGCCCCATAGGGCTATGCCATAGGGTGCTCCACCGAAGGCCCCAATGGCAACGCTCGCATGCGGTCCAACCCGCCATTTCGGCACACCCCTCACTCGGTTCGTGGCCCCATTGGGAGCTCCACCGAAGGCCCCAATGGCCCCTGTTGCTGGCCCCCCTCCGTCTTTTCATTCTCCTCGCGATGATCGAAGGCCCCAGTGGCAGCGCCCGTGTGGTGGCCCCGCCACATTTCGCAACGCCCTTCACGCGCTTCGTGGCCCCATAAGGAGATCCACCGAAAGCGCTACTCACAACGACGGAATTCCCAACTGCACATGGTTGGGTCCTCCGCCAGGCTAATTGTATGCGAAACCCTCATCATCGGCAACGAGACCCCTCATAAGCGGCTGAAGCAAGCTCCCTCAGAATGCGTCAAGGCCTCCACATGCCCCCTCCGCCCCAAAAGTCCCATGAGGGCCAAGATGCTACAAAGGGGCGTCGAAATACACCCAGGGGTGCCCGATACCCTCTCGAGGCCCCAGGAGGCCCCCGAGGAGGATCATGCAGAGGAGGGCGGGAGGGTAGGGAGGACTGAGGAACAGCAGGAAGGAGAGAAGGGGGAGGGATTATGAGTCAGCAGATAGCCTGAACAAAGAACAGGGAGAATAACAAGAAGGATGAGGAAAAGGAAAATGAGACTGAGGATTCAGCGGGCGATGAGGAACATGGTGATCATGATGGGAACGGTGGGACATACAAGGCCTTAGCGATAGTTGCCCCGAAATAATCAGAATGACGTTTTGACGGCTCTGGGCATGGAGCACGCTCCCAGATGCTAAATCTTGCGCAATCGTATGCGTCGCTTTTTTCGGGGGGTGTTTGCACAGCGCATAAGCGTCTGGCTGTCGGACCCCATAACTCGAGCCTCTGACGAATGATCGGGACGATCTGGGCCCCCCCAGAACGCCCTCGACAAGGCGCAGCTGCTAGGACGCACCCCGACGTGAGAACCCTCCCCCCGAGCAGGCGAAAACTCCCTAAAACCAAAAAGAACCGACGAACACGTGGAAAAACTAATGGAACCTCCAAGAGCCGACCAAATCGACTGCACACCCCGAGAACGTGCAAAAACTGGTGAACACGTCTGTGTGCTCGTCCCTCGCGAGGGGCAGGATCAGTTCAGCACCGAATCGGGAATTGGGATCGGATGGCTGCCCCAGGACGCGCAGCCAACGCCCGTGCAACCATCGGGCCGCACTGGATCGTCGGAAGGTCGGAATCGGAACAGATCTCGCCTCGTCTGGAAGAAGTGGGCAGAACCATGAAGTAAGAAAGCGTTGAACGTAGATTGGGCTTCTGACCGCCCCCTGAAGAGGATGGAATCGACAGGCCAATACCGATGTCGAATCGCATCTCGCGGGCGGTGGACGTATCCAGATCTTCCCCCTCGCGGTCTGCACTCCAGGGCGCGACCCCGTGGATACGCAGTCTCGCACGGGCACGCTCCAGCCGGGCATCCGCGAGATCCCGCCGCGTGTCCATGCGGTCGTGGCCGAGGGTCCCGGCCGCGAGACCGTGGGCGTACGTTTTCCGCACGCGAGGATCGTTGGCCTCGATCTGTTTTAATTGTTTGTTATGTTTTCTATTTTTTTGTTTTATTATTTCTGTTTTAGGATCGTTGGGCTCGATCTTTTTTTGTCAATTGTTTTATATATTTTGTGTCACTGTTTTTTTATTTTGGGATCGTTGGGCTCGAAGTGGGGGCCAGAATAGGAGGGCGATCCACCCGGGCGGCCGCCTGCCCTGCCGCGGCGGGGGGGCCTTGTGAGAAGCCAGGCCGTCGGCAGGCCCGGGAGAACTTGCAGCCCCAGGTCGAGACATTCTTCAGTACCGTCGGGGCCTTGACCTAAGGAGCCCTAAATTAGGAACGAGGCCCCTATTTCCCATAAGTTAAACTTCGATCTCCCATCGAAGCCCTAAGCAAAACCAAAGGCGAAGTGCAAAACAACTAAGGAACACCGAGCCCCTCCCCAACGAAAAGGGTTCCTTCTTCAGGGCCCCGACGGTATTTGTTGCCGCCCGCTGGGATTCCAAGATCCTGGGATCCAGCATGGCGAAACAGAGCACGTCATCGCGAGAAGTCACGACGGGAGCCCCGGACTCCATCTTGATGCGGCGTTGCTCGAGCAGGGTCGATCTGAGATGGGCTCTGGGCCGCGGAAAGTGAGCATCGACCGACAGTCCCTGAGAAGCCTACCACGAGCTGTTTGCAGAACACACAGTGCTTCAATAACGCAGATCACGTCCTTAGAATGTAGGGCCCGCGTGTTCCAATAAGGCTGTCTCAGAAAAGAATGCTCCAAGAGCATGCCGTGCAAACCTCAAAGCGAATACTTAGAATACTCTTTCGTGAGTCTAGGGGCGGGTCGGGACGCCCCGCCACTGTCTGAGGAACGGGGCGAAAGCCCAAATGTGAAAGAATACCGACGCCCAGGACAGCGGGGTTATACTTACCCTGGTCAACGCAAACCCGGGTCAGTCAGGCCTTGCAGGATCCTGCAAGATGTCCTGCGGGATCCTGCACAAGATCCTGCACGCAAGCCCAGGTCAATGCAAAACGCTGGCTTTGCAGGATCCTGCAAGACCCGGCGCTCTGGCTGACCCCCGTTTGCTTTGACCCCCGTCTCTTGAGCCCGGAGGTCTCCGGGCGCGAAACAATCGGGGGCGAGGGCAGCGAAGGCTGCAGAAAAGCTGCCCTGGAGGGCCCCCCCAGATGGATGGGGTTTTTCAGGGCCCCACCCTGCAAAGCCCCCCCAAACAAATGTTGGGCCCGAAAGGGGGACATTCCCAGACATGCGACGCCCTGATTTTTCCAAGACGGCGTCCCGGGAAGTCCAGACCCTTTCTCCCCCGGGGCCGGTTCTCCATCCTGATCCGACTCTT